CACCACCACCACCACCACCACCACCACCACCACCACCACCACCACCACCACCCCCACCACCACCACCACCACCACCACCACCACCACCACCACCACCACCACCACCACCACCAACACCACCACCATCACCAACACCAACACCACCAACACCACCACCATCACCAACACCAACACCACCAACACCATCATCACCACCATCACCACCATCACCACCACCATCACCACCATCACCACCATCACCAACACCAACACCAACACCGCCACCACCTTCACCAACACCACCACCGCCACCATCGCCACCATCGCCACCACCATCACCACTGCCACCACCGCCACCACCGCCATCACCACCACCACCAACAACACCACCACCATCACCACCACCATCACCACCACCGTCACCACCGTCACCACCACCGTCACCACCACGGTCACCACCACTGTCACCATCACCACCACCATCACCACTGTCACCACCACCGTCACCACCGTCACCACCACCGTAACCATCACCACCACCATCACCACCATCACCACCACCACCACCATCACCACCATCACCACCATCACCACCATCACCATCCACTTCATTATCATCACCACCATCTTTATCAACCCCACCACCTTTCATTCTTTCAAGAAATACCTCTTGAGTGCCTACTATGTTTCAGACACTTATAGCTTGTGTTAAAAATATAGGCATGGGCAACCCAGACAGCCCCTGCCATTAAGAAGTGGATGGTGTAAGGGCGCCTGGGTGGCTTAGTCGGTTAAGTGTCCGACTTTCGCTTAGGTCATGATCTCGCGGTTCATGGGTTCGAGCCCCGCGTCGGGCTCTGTGCTGACTGCCAGCTCAGAGCCTGGAGCCTATTTTGGAGTCTGTATCTCCCTCTCTCTCTGACCCTCCCCTGTTCACGTTGTCTCTCTCTCTCTCTCTAAAAAAACAAACAAACAAAAAACAAAAAAAAAAGAAGTGGATGGTGTAGGCTTTACAGCCTCTTCTAGACAGGGCACAAAGGGAAAATAATCCTATTTGTGTGGCACCCCCGGGTCCATGGAGGAGGGCTCTGGATGCTGAGGGTGACCATCCTTAGGAGCCACAGCACCCCTGCAACACATTCTTAAAGAAACCTTGTGCCAAGACTCTACAACTGATAAACTGGAGAGAGAATCACTCAACAGAGTGTCCTTAGGACAGCGTGGTGTGAGAGAAACTACCAGGGGAAGGTCATTTGGATTTGGAATCTAGGAGGTGACATGACGTGACACAGGAAGCACGGAAAGGCATTTCATACCTAGGGGATGATTTGCACGATGGGTTTAGTATATTCTAGAAAAACCAAAAGAAGAATAATCAGAGGAGAACATAGGCGCTAGGAGAGACCATGAGATTGGGGAACAGGTAGGGCCAGGTCACTCCAGTCGTGAGGCCACGATGGAGCATTTGGATTCTGGTTGAAGGCACTGACTGGCTTTGAGCGGAGAAGTGAAACTTTAACTTTCTTTCTTTTTTTTTTTTTTTAATTTCACGCTCCACACAGGCTTTAGTGTGGAGCATAGACCATAGGGAGGGGCAGCAAGGAGGTCAGTTAGAAGGACACAGCAGTAGAAGCAGCAAGAGCTGCTGGTGGCTTGGGCTAGGGTGGTGACAGCAGTACACAGACAGTGAAGTGAATAGATAACTTGAAATTTTGAGGAGGGAAGAATTGATAAGACTTGGTGACAGACGGGTCGAGAATTACTGTTGTCCTCGTTCCTTTACTCACCTTACCAACACCGTCCTGACCTCCATCACTGGCATCTTCATCTTCATTCGCAGCAGCAGCACCCTGCACAGCGTGTCACCAGCAAGAACATACCCTCGCCTTGAGTGTGCACACCATTCCACTCCGTCACTCCTTCCTCCACCGCCATGGTGAGGACGGACCTTTCCCACAGCCATCCCCAACTGAAGCCACTGCTTTTCACTTCCATGGTGCTGTCACTGTGTCCTCACGCACAGCATCATCGGATCAGCCCTCGACTGTCCCATCAGCACGAGGGAGGCAGGATGAAGGCGAAATTCAGTGCGGCTGGTCCCAGGCCCTCCAGTGATGTCTTTAAGCTCAACTCTCTTCTCTCTCTGTCTCTCTGTTGCTGTTCTCCTCTCTCTTGGCTTCATTTTTATGCAGACTCTCACTCGTCGGACCCCACCCCGGGGGCTGCCTGTCCCAGATTAGCCACCCCAGCCAAAAGAAAGAATCTCCTTTTCAATGGTGCCCCACAGATTTCCCAAACTGAAGCTGGTATCCCCCTCTCTGACCAATCTCTGTGGGTGGGAGGCATAAAATGCCATGATGGCCAAGTCTAGATCACCTGCCCTCTCCTGGACCCAAGTTAGGGTGGATCAGTTTCACCCCAACATTTGAGCTAAGGGGTGTCACGAGGTGTCATGGCTATCAAATGCAGCAGGTGAAGTCAATTTGAATTTCAGATAAACAATGAATAGATTTACAACATAAGTATCTACCGTGCAATATTTGGGCTATACTTACACGCAGACACTCACAAATTGCTGTCGTTTTCCAATCTGAAGTTCAAATTTTATCTGAGCATCCTTTATCTTATCTGGCAAAATCAGGTGGCTCCCCAGAGGAAAACCAAGGTGCTATTACCAGCACCCGGAGAAAGGGCGATGGCAGAGCAACACAGAAGCGCCCCCTACGGCAGCCTGTGCATGTGCCCTCACCAGGTCTCCCTTCCTCCAGGATAACTTTGTTGGTTTTCATCATTCTGTTCTTCCTGAGGATTTTAATATAATCTACCTAATCGTGCTCAGTCACTCTTAAAAAATAACAGACACTAATGTTTTTCAATAAATAGGCAAAGGGGGAAGCACATCAAACACTGGGTGATATCATTACTCAGCCAGTCAACTGAAGAGATGAAATTGGAAGGCTCCTGAGGCAGAATCCAAACAAACCACAGCATTTAGAATTAAAGCCACCCCGGGCACCATGCTGGGGCCGGGAGTGGTGGAGAACAGCATCGGAGAGGGGGTTCCGGAGGCTGATTTTGAGTCTTAGATCAGCATCTTACAGGCTCTGAGAGCCCAGAGAAGTTGCCTTCCTGCTCTGAGCCTCAGTTTCCTCTGCTGTAAAATGGGGATGATGGGATGAGTGGGTGAGGACGGTGGATGTAAAAGCACCTTGTAACCTCTGCAGGGTCAGAGCAACGTTTCCATCAGTATATGTGGGCAGGGGGTTGCAATTTAAGAATGTAGGGAGAGGGGCGCCTGGGTGGCCTAGTCGGTTAAGCGTCCGACTTTCGCTTAGGTCATGATCTCGCGGTTCGTGGGTTTGAGCCCCGCGTCAGGCTCTGTGCTGACTGACAGCTCAGAGCCTGGAGCCTGTTTCAGTCTGTGACTCCCTCTCTCTCTGACCCTCCCCTGCTCATGCTGTCTCTCTCTCTCTCTCTCTCTCTCCTAGAAATAAATAAAACATAAAAAAAATGTAGGGAGATATGTTTGTTTCATTTTTTATAGTTTATTTTTTTTGAGAGAGAGACAGAGAGCATGAGCAGAGGAGGGGCAGAGAGGGAGCAAAAGAGAGAGAATCCCAAGCAGGCTT